AGGTCGCCATGTTGGCTGGTGTGTGGGTGTCAAACGGAGCGGGACGCGGCGGCGGCGGCAGCGGAGCTCCGCGGGCTCGGGTCGCCCGGATCTCTTCGGCACTGCGGATGGAGGTGAGCAGGCACTCGGCTCGAGCTCCCGAGCGGGGCTGTGGGACGCGGGGCCTCTTCCTGGGCGCGGACGCCCCCGAGGCAGGCTGCCCACGGCCGGCAGCCCCCAAGCGTGCGCCCCAGCTGCCCCAACTTGCCCACTTCCCAGCCGGGCTCCGCCCCGCGGTGGGAGCCTGCCCCTGCGCACCTGGACCCGCTCTCCCCGCGAGGACCCCGTTTCCTTAGCGGGAGCGCTTCTTTTTATATCCTCGGTGTCTGGGGCGCTACTACGCCCCCCTCCAGTCCGGGAGGCCCCTTCGGTGGAGCAGCGCGGCCCTTCCCCGGCGACCCCTACCGGGCCGGGCGCCCCTTCCCCCGGCCCCGCCTGTTTCCCTCCCGCTCCGGACGGAGCGGCCGCCGGCCTCCCTCCAGGAGTCGGGGCAGCGTTTGGGCTGTGTTCCCCTCCTTCGGGCCGCGGCAGGGCCCTTTCCCTCCCCGGGGGACTGGGTTCCCCCTCCCCAGCCTCGCCCCCGCTGCACAGAGGGGACGGAGGTGGCAGAGCCGGGCTCCAGCTGCCTTTTGTTCCGCGTGGGACGGCAGGGACCCGGCCTGGCGGTCCCGCTGCGCCGATCGCCGACCGGGTGGTGAGCGGGTGCGTGGGGCAGCGTCCTCCGAGACAGCCTCCCTCTCTTCTCCCGGGGCGGCTCCCGGAGCGGAGCCGAGCGCTGGGGAGGCAGGGCCTTCCTAGCGGAGTTGGTGCCAACAGGTTTTTGTTTGCGACCTGAAGTTGGCTCAGTGGCTTTCCAGAGGGGCAACTTGAGAAACCGCAGCAAGGCCTGTGAAAGCCATTTCTCGGCCGTCCCTCGTGGTGGCGCCTTCCCTGCTGTGCTGACTCGGGGCAGATGTGAGAGAGTCGGGGGCTTAGCCATTACTGGGTTTTTGCTAGGGGAAGCTGAGACGCGGAGGTGCAGTGATTTGCCCAGGGTCACACAGCCACGGTTGGAAGCTCATTCGCCAAGGGTTTCCACAACACTTAGTAATTGTTGTAAAAGAGAGAGGGGCCTGGGATGTAGCTCAGCGGCGCGGCGCCTGCTTGGCAAGCGCGGAGTCTCACGTTCGATTCCCGGTACCGCCCCTGTAAAAGAAATGAAAGATGTGCGGGGTTCCCACCAACCTCCTGCCTTCTGTTTTTAACATTTACACAAGAAAACGGGCAGGAACAGATGATGATAAGTGTGAATTCTTTCCACCTCCAGCAAATGGCTTGGGAAAGAAGAGATTGGAGCAGGGGCTTGACATGATTAAAGATGAATTTCGATTGTTTTCATTCCCCCATTATGTAATACAATGAAGACCTGGCAGAAAACGTGCATCTTGTGGCTGTAGATACGGAGTGATAACTGCTGACAAATCACATACCAGTTTCTGCACAGCAGTGATTGAGTTTGCGCTGATAATTACAGTTTCATCTGTATTTAAGTGAACACCAAAAGGGACTCAAATTGTTTCTGAATGGTACTTGTTCAGGTGCTTAGTTTGGGACAAATTACTGTGCTACGGAGACCACCTAAGTGGTCACATCTTTACCTGCATTTTTCTTTTACATTGTTAATGTTTCTTTGTGTTCCAAGTTTTAAAATTAGGCTACTCATCCTTGCCAGTCTCATTGGGCTATTCTTTTGCAGGCATTTGTTATTAATAGTTTGGTAAAGTGCACATTACCATAAGGCATGAATCACTGTTGCCTGCATCCCACAAATCCCTGCACCAGGAGCAATTTTGGATGGTGCTGTGGACTTTCCGAGGGGTAATAGCTGGCATGCGGTGGAGTCATGAGAAATGACCTATCCTTTGCAGAAATCCTCTGTAGAATAGGGTTGCCTCTTATGTAACCCCTTTTCATAATGAGGTGTGGATTTCCCAAGAGTTGAGGTTCTGATAAGGGTCCTACAAAAGTAGTCGAAAAGTGTTCAGGACTCTTACTTTAATGGTTTGTTTTTTCCTGAGGTAAAGGAAGACTTTTTTAAAAAAATTAGATGGACTGGAAATTTCCAGTTCTTTTTGGTCTAAAGAGCTGAGAGAATGGATTTCATGAAAACTCATGAAACTGTCATTGCCATATTTTTGGGGACCCCCCCCTTAAAGCTTTCTTTCCTTTTTATTTTTTATTTTTTGAGACAGGGTGGCATTGAATTCACTTTGTAGTCTAGGCTGCCTTCAAACTCAGGTGATCCTCTTGCCTCAGCCTCCTGAGTGTTAGGATTACAGATACGTGCCATCATGCCGGGCCCCACCCTTAAAATTTTCTAAACTTTCAGGCAGTTTGTTTTTTTGTCTTTTTGAGACAGGGTCTCACTATGTAGTTCAGGCTGGCCTTGAGCTCACTTTGTAGCCCAGGCTGGTCTCGAACTCAGAACGGTCCACCTGCCTCAGCCTCCCGAGTGCTGGGATTACAGGCGAGTGCTGGGATTACAGGCGAGTGCTGGGATTACAGGCGAGTGCTGGGATTACAGGCGAGTGCTGGGATTACAGGCG